CCTTGTAGAACTGGAATGGTAAACTGTTACTACTAAATTACTGTTACTACTAAATTTTGTAAACACTATCAGAGCTGAATGAGAGCTGCTTCTGTGTAGCTAGATCCCATTCCATTCTAATGATGTCTGCAGGAAAGAACCAAGCAGAATGTGTAACTTATGTGGCTCCTTCCCATGCCAGCTTCATCCATCCCTGAGAGATTACTTGGAAGAGATGCCAAGGGAGATGCTACCTTATACAGATGGTCAGCAAAAGCACATAAACATAAGAATTCCAAAATAATACAGAATTACAGATTGCATAACACCCTGTGAAACCTCTTTAGCATTGGCCAGGATTTCGAAGATACAGAATGGTTTGGAAATATGTAAGTCATCATGGGGCTGGCATGAAAAGTGCTAAGGCCGAAACCGCTCCCATCCTTAACAGATGAGAAATATATGACAGGTGGAAATCAGGCTAAATGCTGCTTACATGCATATAATAGCAATTTGGTTAGATCCAAGGGGTGGAGTGCAGCAGAACAAGTTGATGGTTCAAAAGCTATTAGGGCAGCTATGTATGCTCCAAAAAAGGAAAGACTCCACGTGCTGCACAAAGTAGTTGTCTGAGCCAATGCTCTCCTTTACTAAATTGAGTCCTGATCAAACTGAAGCCCTGTTGCTTGAGGTCTTCATAGCTGAGCTCAACAGGAGCCCTGAATAGCATTAGCCCCAGAAGTATTTTCTTTTTGGTATTTTTGCATTTTGTGTGTGTGTGTACGCTGATGCCTGGAAGTCATGGTGACCTCCAGCAACTCGTACTGGGGCATGGAGGATGTTCAGAGAAGTGGCTTGATAGCGTGCCTCTGCCTCCCAGCCCTGGTATTCTTTGGAGGTCTCCCATCCAAATACTTGCCAGGGTTGGCCCTGCTTAGCTTCCGAGATCTGATGAGATCGGGCTTGCTTGGGCTATCCAGGTCAGGGCACCCCAAAACTAATTTTCTGATGTTAGGTACCCAGGACAATTTGCTTCCTAGAATGGATTGTTATCATTTATTAAGGAGAACTCAAGCTGAAGTTTTGGGAAGCTTCAGGACTGCCATTGCTTCACATGGTAACCAAGATTCTACTGTAACTGGTTGGGGGACTTGACACTTTCATTGTTTTCACCGATTCCTTCCCAGTGTTCTATTTTGCATTTTCCAAATATTTTGCATACACTTTTCTGCTTATATTGATGACACAAGTCAGCAACCATTATTATTTATTTAATTAGACTTATGCCCCGCCCTCCCAGCCAAGGTTGGCTCAGGGTGGCTTACAACAGAATAAAACACCCACATAAATTTAAATCATCCTAAAAAACAGTTAAAACATTGCTCTAAAAGCCCCTGCACAGAGCCGTGGGGGGGGAGGAGAGACAATATTTAGTGTGGGGAGTAAAGAAAAGAGGAAGGGTTGGGGGGGTGGCCCAGCAGCCTTACCAACTGCAGCCACCCATCACTCAGGGCCCAAACAAGGCAAGTCTCCTTCTTTATTTTATTATTATTTTTTTTTAAAAAGTATTTTAAACGCTGAGCCACAGCTCTGACGCAGCTCGAAGATCTGGCCGTGGTGCAGCCGTGTAAATCAAGCCATAGACGCGGCCCTGGAAGGAGGCCAGCAAGGGGTGCCCTGCAGCCACAAGATGCAGGCGTGGCTCCAAAAATCAAGCCGCCGACGTGGCCCCAACACCCCGGACGCAGCCCCGATGCCCGGGCTGCAACACAGCTCAGCCTCACGGCCACGGATGCAGCTCAAACTGGATCCTCGCCATTCCGCCCCCCTTTCCTGGACTTCACCACCTCACCGCTGCTTGGTTTTATTTTTGGTTTGTTTTTTTAAAAAAAAAATTAGATCAGCCCTGCCTCGCCATCGCCTGAAAGATAGGCAAGGCCTTGGAAAGGTCCCTGATGCGCTCAGAGCTGCTACAGCTACCAAGCATGAGTCAAGCTGGTCAAGGGAGATGTATGCCCCTTGAATCCTTTGTGCCAATTGAATTGCCCATTCAAACCCTCCTCTAAGTTGTACGAAATTGTCAATTTTATCTCATGTTAGGTTGCTATGACTAAGGCCAATCAACATACGCAGTAGAAAAAACCCAACTTGGCACAGCCTTCTAAGCACTTTACAACGTCAGAGGCCAGATGGGGGTAAAAATATCTAAAGAAAACCCTTGTTCATTGAAACCTGGAAAGGGTCTAGGCTGACTAACCATCTCCCTAACTATGCATATGGACTTTTACATGAATGAACACTCAAACACTTGGTTTCTTGACTTGCCTTCTGAAGCAGTACAGTCCCCCAAGGGTGCTTTGACTGACTGTATTGATAGGTGGAATCAGCTGCCTAGGGAGATGGTTAGCTCCCCTTCACTGACAGTTTTCAAGAAGAGGCTGGACGAACAATAGTTAGAAATGCTTTAGGCTGGTCCTGCATTGGGCAGGGGGTTGGACTAGATGGTCTGTATGGCTCCTTCCAAATCTATGATTCTATGATAGATCCTATATCATACTTAACTCTCTTCCTTTGATATCAATGAGATTTAAATATGCTTAATTTTATCTGGATTGTGTCCTGTGTAAATACATACACACAAACACAGATGTGTACAACAGGGCTTAATTACAAACTTTCCCCCAACACAAATCAGGTATGAACCCATTGACTTCAGGGGGATTTAAAAGATCAGTAATCTAGTGATTCCTCTGAGGTATTGGATTAGATAAAATTTGGTGACTATTCTAGACTAAACAATTACACTTTATTAGGAAAGGATGGAGGAAACAGAACTGTGGTACACAAGGGGCTACATCTCCCCATATTGTAATTGTCTACTTAATGCTGCTGTCTTACATATAATTATATACGATAAGCATTGTAGGATTCACTGGGCCATACCTTTGGGTAAAATGCATAGGAATGGTTTATAATTCTTCTACATGTTGCTGAATTCTGCTTTAAAAGAGCGTGTCCATAATTTCAAATACATTAAATCATGCCAAGTTAAGCAATCTTTTTTTTTTAAAATTAACAGATTTTTAGTGACTGAACATCGTTAAAAGAAATGGCAAAGTACTACAGCAGACATTTCATTAATTAAATGCCCAGAGATTAGTCACTGGGCCCACCTCCAAATATTCTGTCAGCACATGCCTCTGTGAAATGAATGGGGCTAATCTTTGAGCAAACAGAGAACCAGGCTGTACTGTATGATATTTTTGTATACAAAATGACACTGGGTAAGAGTAAAAGAACTGAGGATAAGGATGATAAAAAAAAATCAAGAAATGAAATTTTGACTTAAATACTAAAAAAAAAAAAGCACAGATGAAAAGGAAAGGACAAATCAAGCAAATATTCTAGATCTTTAAAAATTCAGCTATAACACATTTTCTGTACTGTGCACACACACACACGTGTGTTTGTGTTATGTGTGTACTAGAAATATGAGATACATTTGCAACAGTCTCTGAACAAAAGATACAATCTATAGCCACATTCCAAAACAGTTTAGTTGATGTTCATATACATCTCTGTCCACTGTTAGATACATATCTCAGATCTGCACATTTGCTCATCTATCCTTGATCAACACTGAAAAAGTAGAACTGATCTTGGAAGCCATGTGTATTGTCATTTTCTCTCTTTATGTACTATTTGATGATGAATCACTAAAGGTGAGCATCCAGTCTGGCAGTCTCTCAAGACAAGCATCATCAAAACTACAGCCTTGTTTCTTTGAAGCACCTCAAGAGATTAAATCTGCTGTGATTCCTTAACAATTAGGTTTCCTCAAATTCATTTATTGCGTTAATCATTCATCTTTTGTGTTGACACTTAAGATGGATTACAGATATAATGTGCTAAGAAACTTTGTTGGTAAGCACCTGTTTTATCACTTCAAGAATATGAGGTAGTAGGCTGTTGCTTATGAAAAATAATATCACAACAGACAGCTAATTTCAAATGGTCAAACCAATTTTTTTAAATTGGAAAATAACATCAACACACCCCAAATATGAGGGGGGTAATTTTTCTTCCCATTTCCCCACTTCTTGACATCAACAGAGCCCCCTCTTGCTGTCATCTGCCCCATTCTGGAAACATACAGGCAACATATAAGTCCTTCATGCTTTCCCCAGTAACCAAGTAACAGCTCTGGAGGGCAGCTTGCAGGCACAATAATGGCCAAATTGAAATGCTTAAGCTTCCTCCTGAAGTCCCCATGAGAAATGGAGGGCATGGATGCTGTATACCAATTAAAAAAAAAAAAACACCACTCTGCAGCAGTACTTACAAGTGTTCTAGCATCTCATTTAAGTTTGGCCTAAAGGGATATGTAGAGCTTTGTATTTTCTCGTGAATTGCTTCCCTTCTTTCTTTTCTTCCTTAGATGACAGCAGCAGCTGAAAAACTCATTGTTAGTGTAGATTACTGAGAATGGAAGAAAACTAGGAAAACAGTAGAAAATAGTAAGGGAAATAATAGCTGCAATTCTTATTTAATTTTGCTGGTTTTCCAGTTTTCCATCCTTCGTTTAAGATGTACTTAACCACTATGTTTTATTTTCTCCCTGATCCATACACTTTTCTTAAATAATCTAGTCTTGTTGTTTTCCTCCAGTTGCTGACTTTATATGGTATTTCTTTATGTTCACAGACCCCAATAGCTTTCCAAGCATTCTGTGGTTTATGAAACCAATTCTTATGTTTAGTAATTACCTCACCCAGTACATTAATAATATATAGGTCTTTCTTTTAAATAGATGATCACTCAGGAGTTGCCGTTAGAGTACAAACAATAAATTTTGGGGCGTGCTTTATTAATATTTTGTTATCTGATCTTTTTTGTACCTTTTATACCTTCAAAAACACACACACCAACTAAACATTTTATTTCTACATGCAAGTTAAAGAGAAACTTTCTATTACATCCACGGATCAGAACTTGAGCTGGATTCAGTTTTGCAGCACTGTTTACAGTTCATCTTTCTGAACAGGACAAGCCTTGGAATGGTCCTGACTGTGGTCTACTGGCTTGACCATCATCCAGGCATATTTACACATGTGCTCTTTATTACAGTCCTTCTGCCAATATATAACATTCCTTCGGTTCAGATTTGCTCCAGCACAAGCATCATACCACCAGCCTCCACCAGGAATACCATTGTATTCCAGTTTGGCACAATTTTGAAAATAGTTATCGTTATCTTTGTCTTTTGTAGTAAACTTCTGGTTGTCATGAAGATATGCTTCTGTATCCTGAGTCAGAGCATCAACAGCATTGCCTTTATACAAGCCAAGCCTGATCCTATATTGAGATGCTTCATCCTCAATGAGGAATGGCTCATATTCTCCCCACTTAATTTCAGCATTTAGGTCTACAAGTTTAACCCTAAGTATATATGGTCTTGAAGAACTGGTTAACTGGTGCATATACTCATTCCCTAACCAGTAGTTGTCATTAAGGAAACCAAATCCATATTTATAGTCCTGCCAGGTCCTATCAAAGTCCACAGTACTGTTGGCAGTAATGTGCTGAATCACTGTCCAGCCACCATCTTGCATATCGCAGTACACACCAATAGGCTCCTTTGCTGGCTGAATGATGTAAATACCATCTCTGGAACTCTGCTCAGATTGCTGAAAAATTTCACTGCAGTCCCGTGGATAATCTGTGCATAATGAGGAAGAACAACACATTTTATTTGCAAACCTTCTCCAACAATGAGTGCTTGGACCTAAATATAGGGGAACATATTATTCCATCAGAATTTGTAAAGTATATATTATGTAGTTCAAAGGCTACATAGTATTTCCAGGTTGCATTGAAATTAATGGAATGTGGCCTTGAAGAAGCAAATAAGGAATGTCAGGTGTGCAAAAATGAAACTAGATCAGACCAAAGACTCAACTGGTTGATTCTTCTATCTTCAAGCACACCTGAAAGCTCACAAGCAAAGAATTATGGGGATAACCATCTTCTTTTGGTACTCAGATGGATAATGGCTCTGAACTTAAATAAGTATTCCTTGTTGTAATGGGTGATAGCCATTGTTAGGCCTATCTTTTTAAAAAGTCATCCAGGAAAATGGCTATAACAACACAATGAATTCCTGAGGCTGACCATATGTTGCATGAACAAGCTGTTTGTTTAACCTGAATAAATGTCATGGCTGGCTCTGACTGTATTCTAGTTATTCAATAGTATGTACATCATTCATCTTTCACTCTGTAGGTAGAACTGACAAAAGTAGGGGAAGGATTAAAGAACTTGTGACCATCACTGAACAATATTGTGAGGTGCCGTTGGAGTGTTACACACACACACTCCTCTGGCCCCAGATAAAGAAAGGCCCTATGCCCCCAAATTTACTTTGGTACAAAGCGGACAAAACCATTCACATAAATGTTACTTATATAGACTTATGGTGTTCTGAGAAAATCAATTGGACTGAGAAAATTAATTTTTAATGTGAGTAATCCAGGACCCTTTGGAATTTCTAAAGGTTAAATGTGCCTTTATGTTTTTGCAACTTGTTAAATAAAGGTAAATAAAGACCATGTATCAAGCAGTAACTTATGATGCTGTGTGTGACCACTTGGGTAAGCTAAATAGTAAAATTGATTGTGTAGCCATTAGCCATTACAATTTTAACCGAGCACCGCTTGGGTAAGCTGATCATCTATATTGTCCTGCCACATGAGGAAGAGAATCTTCTCATTCCTTGATTCTCCAGACATCTGATCAGGTGCAGAAATCTTTTCAGCTTGGTAGGGTAATAGAGATGAAGGGCTTAATAAGTAGTCAGCTACAATGGCAAGTGTCAAGTTTCTACATGGTATGTTATCATTGGGTGAATGATTGTATGTACCTACCCATAGAGCTATATTAAGGCAGAACAAATAGAAAACACAATCCGTAGAACAAAATAGAAAAGACCCAGTGAAAATCTTTGCAATGACAAGAAACAGTACATAAACAGAGATGATATGAACAAGATCTGTAGTTATTAATAATCATTAGCAGTTTTTACACTTGACTTCCAACATATTTTTTTCAGGAACCCCCCTGCTACTATAATGATCAACATAATCAAAGTGTAGGATAAAGCCAGTTGAGTAAATTTTTCTGTCTCTCTCACACACATTTGTTCTTTTATTACCTTTTGTATTAATGTTGATCAGTCTCGTATAGCCTCCTGGTGAAAGCATGTGAGAATTGGCAAGTTCAAGGACCTCTTCTGCACTTGTCCATAGTCCACACTGAACGAACAGCAGTAGGATACACCCCAGTGAATTTTTCAAATTCATTTTTTCTTATGACGAAGCTCTGCACTGATGGATTCTGGAAACCTAACAGAGACTGGCATTTAGCATTAAAAGACTGATTGCCTGCAGAGAGAATTTCTTGAAGAGAAACTGAAACACCTGGTTTCACAGTTAAGATCTGCCAAAGCTATGAATCTTTTTTTCTCTCTTTTGAAACTCACTTTTTAAAAATGTGTCACACTGCATTTGTGATGGGCCACTTCTTTGACACACAGAACTTTTATGTCATGCAGAAGACATTAAATCTTGTTATACTATCAGTCAGTGTGATAAAGCACATTTGTGTGCATGATAACAACTGATAGAAAATAATGGCACGGCAAAGTTTCAATTAAAAACATGACTCTCCTTTATCAGATCTGATGTGCCATGTTCCCTGGACCGCATCTGAAATGAAAATGTGTCATTGAAAGGAAGAACTAAAGCATACCAGAACACTAGCTGCTGTCATGGAAGCTGTTGGGGAGAAAGCAGTTATCTCACAATTATTGACAGGACTTTGAAGCCTCAGACTTCAATCCTGTATGTGTGACTAGCATCTCTAGTGAAAAGGATTTCTATCGCTTTTTTATGGGAAATTTTATGGGAAAATCTTCCTCTGAAGAAATTCAGAAAACTGATTGGGCGTAAAACAGATCAGTTTGAAAATAGACTTCTCTTGGAGCTGCAAAATAACATCCTGTAAGTACATCAAAAACCATAGTATTAACTTTGTATCATATATTGGAACTACCTTGTAAGCAAAATGCTTCTTGCTTCTAGTTCACTCCAAACAATTTAGTCCCAAGTACTGGCAGTATACAATTAGATATCGCATTAGAGAAGGATTTGTGCTGTCATGTAAATTGGCTCTTAAGCAATATTCCTTGATGTAAAATCCCACCCCAGGTGGTGGCTGTTCTTTTCAAATGATCTCAAAATGAGCTAATGAATTTATTACTACTACTAAGTTAAAATGTGATTTTGACCCAAGATCCAAACTCATCTTAACTGTGGAAAGTCTAAAATGGGATAAACATCTGCAACAGGCTTTGTAAAAAAGCTAAAAGGGATCAAATGTTTTCTCTTCACACAATATTTAAATTTCATATTAAAACTATATGCTGGCTTTAAAGTTCTGTGTTAAATGTAGAAAGTAGGTTTCAACTAGGACACAGATAAGGAAAGCAATAAAGAAAAAGTAGAACAAGAGGAAAGCTCACCTTTCTTGCTCTAATTAACAATGGAAGAAGAGAGCTCCTCAAAAATCCGTGGGACAATTCTTTGGATATGTACTTTACAGCTTGCCTACTGCTGAAGTCCAGGTGAACAGCTCAGCCAAAGATCTCTTGTTTCCAGCACGGAAAGTCAGTTATCTTCCCAAGATTTTGCATTTTCAGTGTGTCTATCTTTTGACTGATGGACTTCACTCTGACACGTTGTATCCACAAATAAGCATCTTAAAAGGCCAAAGTTCTCTTCATCATAAGAAAGATATTACTGTGGATACACTGATTTGTTTCCTGCTTAGTAAACTCATTGAATGAAATACTTGTAGCCTGCAGCTCATACTTTCAAACTAAATCCTGTCTTGATCACCATATCATATGGCTAACAGGATTAATTGAGAAGGAAGAGCCACTACAACAGTGATATTAAAAGACTCAATAAAACAGCAACTGCAATCCAATCTTTATTTAAGTGTCATTGAGTGCAATGGGACATGCCCAGCTAACAATGCAAGCTTTAAAAGTTACACCCTTCTAAACACACTGGGATTAGAAGGATGTGACTCCGTTCATGATTGCACTGTGTGGCTGCACCTGGACCTAAACCCTGCTGAATAAAGTGGGGCTTATTCCTGAGTAAACAGGCTTTAAAGGCTTAAGAACAGGTTGGATTTTAACCACTGTTTAGCAGACCTGTAGCTAAGGTTCATTTTCTTCAGTTTAGGCACAAACAATTTCTGATTTTAATCCTCACTACATCCTGTGTTTCCCCCTAGGATTGCCAACTTCCAGATAGAGCCTGGAGACCTCCCAGAATTACAATTGATCCCCAGATTACTGATATCAGTTCCCTTGCAGGAAATGGCTGCTTTGGAGAGTGGACTCTGTTAGCATTATACTCAACTGAGATCTATCACCTCCCAAATCCACCGAACCAGGCTCCACTCCACCCATATCCCCAGAAATTCCGCAACCCAAAGTTAGCTATCCAGTTCCCATTCTTCGGTGCACATATCTTTATATAGGATTTTTTTTCCTGATGACCACCTTATCCCTGACCCATGTGCAGAGAGCTGCATGTCCCTAACAGAGGCTTAATGCGTGGAAACGGGATGTTGAAGCTTTTCATTGAACATTCCATCAAGCTTCTATTAAATAGCATCCATTAGTAAATAGCATCCTGCCAGCAACCCTAATCACCCAGGAAGCTTCATAGCAAAGTAGGGATTCAAACCTGGGTCTCCAAGATCCTAGTCCAACATTTTAACCACTTCACCAAGCATGCTGAATCTTCTTTTTATGAGGAGCTATATTGTATTAAGATTTCTGGAAGTATTTTTAAGTAAACATGCATAGGATCAGGTTGCATGTATTTTTCTAAAAGCCAGTGTGGTATCGTGGTTAAGAGTGGCAGACTCTAATCTAGAGACCCCAGTTTGATTCCTCACACCGCCACATGAAGCCAGCTGGGTGACCTTGGGTCAGTCACAGTTCTCTCAGAACTCTCTCAGCCCCACCTACTTCACAGGATATCTGTTGTGGGGAGAGGAAGGGAAGGTGATTGTGAGACTCCTTGAAGTAATGAAGAGTGGGATATAAAACCAACTCTTCTTCTTCTAAAAATAACCACTGTATAATTTACCCCATTTCACAAAGGCAGGTATTAAACATAAGATAGCCCCATAAACAACAACAAAAAAAACAGATTCAACTACTGGTTCATAAAAGTGTGTTTATACAGTTATCTTCAAAACCAAATAAAATTTCTCTGCAGTACTAAAATCTGTAAGGCTAAGTTAAAATGATGGAAAAAAATATTATCTTAGTATGGGGTTGTGTGATTTTTTTCTATGCATTAGTACAAGATGGTTTTGCAGCAATTCTTTTACTAATAGATTTTGAAGGTAGGCAACACCAATGATTTGCAATACACTTCCCTCTTTCTCAATTTATATTTGTTTTACATGATTCCTTCATTTAACCTTGCAGTTCTTTCTTTCCCCCATTTTTTGCCTTCTCTTTTCCTTCAAGCTGGAAAAGCAGAAGTTAAGTGGGAGGTTTAAGAACCAGCTAGAAGAGGCAGCTGCAGTTCTTTCCTAATTCTCTCAGAGAAAGACCCATTTTACTCTTGAGAGACTTCATATCCTTCTCTTTCCTGATGAGAGGCTCAGTAAGATCCAATCTCAATCCCTTACCTTCCAATGATTTGGGTCACTTTCAGGATAAGTACCTAACATTTAATCCATCTCAGTTTGAGCACACCATGAAGGCCCTTTCTAATCCCAGAGACAGTTCACAGAATCATCTTCAGCAGCCCGTAACACTATTTGTGTGTGTGTGTGTATCAGAGTCATCCACATGATATACAGGAGAGCTATTTTCAGTGGAAAGTACTCCCATAGACAGTTCACAGAATCATCTTCAGCAGCCCGTAACTCTGTGTGTGTGTATATCAGAGTCATCCACATGATATAAAGGTTCCCTTGCTCAAAAGCCAGTCGAATCCGACTCTAGGGTTGCGGTGCTCATCTCCGTTTCAAAGCCGAAGAGCCAGTGCTGTCCGAAGACATTTCCGTGGTCATGTGGCTGGCATGACTAAACACCAAGGTGCACGGAACGCTGTTACCTTCCCACTGAAGTGGTACCTATTTATCTACTTGCAATTTCTTGCTTTCGAACTGCTAGGTTGGCAGGAGATATACAGGAGAGCTATTTTCAGTGGAAAGTACTGACCTGGCGATATTCTTTATAAGTTGCTGCAGTCTCACAAATCACTACTGGCAGCTGCGTATAGAAGCTGTGGCTCATATCATACATACCTCCATGAGGCCTTTGCTAGGTCACAAGGCTGCCAAGGAGACCCACACAGTTTTGGAGCAATCACATGGGGCAGATGCTCACAGTCTGAATCAGGTTTTTAATTTCACCTGTTGTCATTACCATTATCCAGGATGTCATAAACAGACATAACCCCCATCATCACTACTACAAGTGACACAATCTTGGAGGTCCAGTGGCCTCTATTTAGTACCCTGTACTTTTTCACATCCACCTTTACAATGAGCCTGTAATACTGGAAACACTTTTAATTGTTTTGTGTATATTAACTCTGATCTGTTGTATATTTAATCTTTCCCCCCCCTTTCCTTGGCATTATTTGGGAATAACAAGAAGTTTATAGTTTATCAATATGGGAAGGAGCCTGGGGAATACTTGGGATAGTGCACTCCTCCTTCCTTTTATCTTTTCCCCCTCTTGAGTGGCCTGAAAATTCTGCTCTTGTGGAAGACCACGGTTTGTGGTTCAGGTTTATTTATCTGTTAGAACATTTACATGCTGCCTCCCCAGAGATCTGTTGTGTAGTAGATCAGTGATGCAATCACTATTTATAGTTTGCCAGCTCTGAGTTGGGAAATTCATGCTTCTATATGTTTTATTTCCCATTTATTTTTCTCAGTTTGTTCTTCTCTCTCCATTCTCACTCCCCTTCTCTTAGAAGAATCCCATTACCTAGTCTACTAGGCTTAACAGGTGCCTGGTAATGGCAGCCAAACTCCTGGTGATTGCTGCCAGTGCCTCTCTGGTTGGCAGGTGGAAGCAGGCTGACAAAAGGGTGGGGGAAGCGTTCTTCATTGCTGTGCAATAGTGTCACTTCCAGTGCAGCTCGGCAGTACCAGCACTGCACTGGGGCGATAATCTCGCACTTGCTTGAAACGCCATAGAGTTTCTGGCTGAGTGCTAGAGCATCATCTCAGTACAATGCCAGCACTTCCA